CACGAGATATCGTGTCGTCGTCAGGAACTAGCCGCCACTGTTGTCTGGTCTGTTGGTCGCTGTCTTCATCGGAGATCGCCCAATTTCATTGTCAACAGGTGATACATCTATATGTATATGTATTGCTGAGAACATGTAATTGTAGTAATTGTGGAGGGTTATATTGGTCTATTCACACTTCTTTTGTCTTTGTTAACAAGGCAAAAAAATGGTCATTTTGTATGTCAGAGCTCTGGAATCGTGTTTTTCAAACCTCAGGGCGATGGGGACTACAAGTTTGATCAAAACCTAATACAATTAACCAATTTCAAAGTTGGTTTGTTTTTATCCTCGTTTGGATAATGTTTTTGCTTCATATTTTTTATTTTTATTATGGGTAACGTTTGTTATCATTTAAATAATATTAAAGCGCTTTCAAAATTAAGGTCAAAATCGAAAGTATAAAATGATACTTTTATTTGTTTCCTTATTATATTAAAGTACTAAAATAACATTTATAACTAGCCATTCAATTTTTTCAAATTTGTAATACTTTATACCAAATATGTTATGATTTTTTACTTTCAAAAATTCTGTAATAAATTTACGTTACCAAACTAGTTTTAAAATAGTGTTAAAAACACTCAAGCAAAAGCACAAAATAAAAATAATTGTCAAACGAAGTCCATGCATTTCATATATATATATATATATATATATATATATATATAGTCCTGATCTGTTAACAAGAAAATTAATTCACACTTTTTATATAAACAGTTAAATTTCATTTTTCAAACACACCTATAACCTTTCCTTTTAACAAAAAACCACCCTTACCTTATTTTTAATTTCTATATTTAATTTTACTATTACCGCTTATTGTAACAATAAAAGGTAATTATCAACTCTCTATCCATTTTTTTGTGAGTGACTGAATTTGAATTTATGGACAAAAGTGACAAATGATTTATCTCCATGGATAAGGTTGTGAGAAGAGCTTCACCTAATTTTTTTGGATTACCTTGTTATTTCTGAGGTGGATTCTACAGTCCCATCATAGTCAGTACATCATCATCATCCAATAATCAAGCTCACAAATTCATAGATTCAATAATGAATTTCACCAAATACCCAACTTCAAATTGAAATAAAAAGAATTTTTGTTCAAACTTTAAATAAAATTTTCTTCAATTTCAATTCCAATTAATCAATTCGATATTCCAAAATGCAATTTTATAGTATATTTGCTGGTAAATTTACTTATACGAGAGAATTATATTATAGTTGCAAAATTGATGTTTCTTAGGAAAATGCTATAATATCATACTGTTGTTGCAAAATTGAAAGATATCGTATTGTTTTTCTTTCAAAGAAACATCTAAATAAAAACAAATTTTTAGTAAAATATACTGGTCTTATTTTTTTCTTCAAAGGTTTCTATTGTTATTTTGATAATTACCTTTTATTGTTATAGTAAGTAGTAATGGTAAAATTAAAATAGAAATAAAGATAGGGTGAGAGTGGTTTTGTATTAAAAGGAAAGACCATAAATAGGTTTGAAAAATGACAGTTAGATTTAATCTAACAGCCTATGTTAAAAGTGTGGACTAATTTTCTTATTCCATAGAGAACAAGAGATCAAGACTCTCTCTCTCTATGTGTATATATATATAGAGGTAAATAAATGATTTAGTGAAGATAAAACCATGCTTTTCATATTTGTGCAAATGAAAACATTGTTTTAGTAATTTCCTCACTGGAAAAAGAAATATTTTCTAGTTCTTAAAAAATTATATCTAAATGTGAATATATATTGAATACTTGGACGACCTAAAAGCAGTGTTGCTATAGAGAACCAATTAAGCATCTTTCGTTTGTCTGCATATCTTGATTTCATATAAGGTTAGATGGATGTCACATGGAGTTGCAAATTTTAAAAAACGACACTGTTTTATAGTACACAGTATCCTCTTAATTGCAAAATCTAGATCGCAGTTGATCTCTGTACATTTTGAACAAATTTAATTGACAGCAAAAACTATACAGCAGTGCTGGAATCTATAGAGAATTTATTTATTTTTACTTATTTTTTTCGGTAATTAAGTAGTGAAAAAAAAAATGACAAATAGTTACAAAGCTAACGAGGGGGAAAGAGGGGCAAAGAAAATGAAAACCCAAAAAAGAAGTCCACAATAGTGGCCCAAAGGTAAGGAATAAAAAGTCCAGATTCGGCCTTGAAGTCATACAAACTGCACACACTGTGATTCTCACGCCAAACATTTACAATAAATTATTTAATCGAATAACTTTTAATTAATTATTTATACAAAATAAATATAATTAAGTGGAGGGCTTCATTTCCTTATTTGTTGAATAATTAACCAATTAAAAGATTAAGTCTAACAAGTAATTATTCGATACAAGAATTATTTTTCAACCAATAACCTTAAGCATATCCTCGTGCGGGATAAATCAATAAAGAAACAAGTACCCCGCATTGGGTTGTGGGGTAGTAGAGGGGGTGGTGTAGGGAAAGAAAGGTAAAGAAGGGATTCGTATGGGGTCAGCTCAAAGAAGGATGATGGGAGGCTTGAATTAGATGTAATTTCTTCAGCTAATGGGCAATCACAAATTTTGACATTGAACAACTTTAATCGGATTGCATTAAGCACATTCATAGTTTATAGAGGAGGTAAGGATTTATTACTGAACATTCTATTATTTCTCTCCCTCTAAACATGATACATATAGTTATTATTTAGAGGTAAGTCACATACAAACACTATTATTATGTAAGACTCGTGACAACTGGCAACCTTTCGAGGATGAAACACTATATCGTCATCTTCAACATTTCATTTGAAAAAATTTAGTGGTTAGAGAGGAGGGAAAGAGTGGAAGGCTTGAATACGGGCTTTTAGACATGAATAACAACACAATCACTTAAACAACGCGGCATTCACATAAAATTCTAAAATATTTATCTTTTCGAAAAATATCTTCTTCTCTCATAGTTTTATTTCTTTTTTTTAATCTTTTATGTTCTTCTTTATTCCACTCACCCGACTCTTTTATTTTTGAAAATGGTATTGAATATCTCTGATTTTGTCAAGGAACACATATTTGAGTCTTAAAACATGTTATTTTTCTTGGATTAAAATGAATGATGTGACTGAAAGAATAACTTATATGGTATATTACAGTATAAGTTAATATATTCTATTGATAGAAATATTTAAGCATGATATAATTTTTTGTGAGGTAAAGTGAAAAAAAAAAAAAAAAAAAATAATTGGTTATACGCACCGGATGTGCAAATATCTCTAGGTATTAAATATATATATATATTTTTATATCTTTCAAATTGAGTAAATAAAGATATTTTGATCAAATATTGAAATTACTTAAATGCCTTTTAACAAAATAAAAACAAAAATAATAATTTTAGTTTTTAAGGGTATTTTAGGATTCTTATAAAAAAATTATTCAAAATTAACGGTTAAGAGATGTTAGAGGACAATTTGTACGTATTTTTAAATTTTAAAAATTTATATGCAAACACTGAATAGGAGAGGTACTTTTTTTAAGACATTTTTTATATACCAGGATTTTTCTTTGCTCTGTATTCTTTTCTATATAAAAAAGAGCTGAAAAAAAAAAACAAAAAACCTTGTTGACCAGTCAGAGCCCATCCCTGCTTGGGCCCTGAAGGATCGAAAGCGGAAAAGGACCGGGTCGGATCCGGAGGGCCGAATGACGATACCTATGATATCCGTCAATTGATTTTCAATCAAATTAAAAATTTTACCAATACGTTGGACAGAGAGTCACGGACAGAGATCTTCCCATCCTATATCGTCATCTTCAACCTTTCATTCGAAAGAGGATTAAACACCACATCCTCTTTTAAAAGAAATTAGCTTGATGGCCATATATATATATATATATACAGAGGATAAGAATGTTAGGGTTTAACGATTAGAAAGGGGGAAAAGAGTGAAAGGCTCGAATACGAATTCTTAGACACGAATAACAACTCAATTACTTAAACAACACAACATTTGCATAAAATTCTAAAATATTTATGTTTCAAAAAAATATCTTCTTTCTCTCGTAGCTTTAATTCTGTTTTCAAATCTTTTATGTTCTTCTTTATTCCACTCACCCGACTCTTTAATTTTTGAAATTGGTCTTGAATATCTCTGATTTTGTCAAGGAACCCATGTTTGAGTCTTAAAACATGTTATTTTTCTTGGATTAAAATGAATGATGTGACTGCAAGAATAACTTATATAGTATATTACAATATAAGTTAATATATTTTATTGATAGAAATATTTAAGCATGATATAATTTTTTGTGAGGTAAAGTGAAAAATAAAAATAAAAATTGGTTATACACACCGGATGTGCAAATATCTATTGCTGTTAAATATATATATATATTTTTATATTTTTCAAATTGAGCAAATAAAGATATTTTGTTCAAATATTGAAATTACTTAAAATGCCTTTAAACAAAATAAAAACAAAAACAGTAATTTTTAGTTTCTAAGGGTATTTTAGGATTCTTATAAAAAATATTTTTCAAAATTAACGGTTAAGAGATGTTAGAGGACAATTTGTACGTATTTTTAAATTTTAAAAATTTATATGCAAACACTGAATAAAAGAGGTAATTTTTTTTTAGACATTGTTCTTTTTGGATAATGCTCAGCTTCTTACTGGGAGTAGGATAAAGCTATTTACCCCTATGTGATCTAATAATAAAATAACACATCACATTTAATAATAAAATAATTCACACCTAAAAACATTTATTTTTTATATACCAGGATTTTTCTTTGCTCTGTATTCTTTTCTATATAAAAAATAGCTGGAAAAAAAAAAAAAAAACCTTGTTGACCAGTCAAAGCCCATTACTGCTTGGGCCCTGCAGGATCGAAAGCGGAAAAGGACCGGGTCGGACCCGGCGGGCCGAACGACGATACCTATGATATCCGTCAATTTATTTTCAATCAAATTAAAAATTTCACCAATACGTTGGACAGAGAGTCACGGACAGAGATCTTCCCAGTATGTGTGTGTAAAGTGTAAACAATTAAACATCAATAACAAAGATTCTCTCATTCTCAACCCTTCCACTGGCAAAGACCTTCACTACTGTTTTCTCATCTTCTTCGATTTCTTGGAAATACCTACTACTGCTTTCTTTTTTTTCCTTCGAATAACAAAGTGGGTGCTCATTTTCAATCGATCCAGATTGGTTCATGCAAACTAGCTTCTGGGTTGTTGAATTCAGGTAATCTGCTGCATATACCCATTAGTTTTAATTTCATAGATCTTCTTCAAGTTCTTGTTTTTCGAATCACTTTTTGTGTTTGATTCTTTACTGGAATTTCTCAATACCTTCTTGAATTTAGTTGGTTTCAATTTGAAAATCAATGCTTTATCTTGCTTTCGAGTTCTGATTTCGGATAATGTTTGTTTCTTTACTGTTACTCTGAAAAGCACTCGTCATTTAGTTTATTCACGCTTGAGAGAGAGTGAATTCTGGGTTCTTTACTATAAAAATCACATAATTTTCTTGATGTGTTTACTTTCGTTTTGTAAATTTAATGTATGCTACTGGGTCAAGTTCTTAGTTTCGGTTGGTGTTTGTTCCTGTTCTGTACTGTAGATTTACAGAACCCTCTCACAGTGGTTTACTCCGATTGCCATTCAGTACATTTCTGATTTCAAATTCCAATTTCTTGAATGTCATTGTTCTTTCTAAGGGTCACTGAAACCTCTTATCTTGAGTAGATATTCATCTTAAAAATTTACGGGTTTCTCTGGGTTTCTTGATTAGGTCTTGAATTGGTGGTGCAAGTGTTTGAGATTTCTGTGATTGATGAAAGGCAGTGTTGAATTAGCTGAAAATGAGCCGGTCTCCGTCATTTTCGGGGAAGCTGGACCCCCATTCAAAGATTGACACAAATTCTTTGCGGCGATGGGTTGTTGCCTTTTGCATCATTAGGTTTGATCTTGAACAGGGTCAACTCATTGAAGAGTGTTACCCTTCTGGCTGTCTTACCCATCAAGAGGATCGTGAAATTGCTTTTAGTTCGTTCCCAGATTCTGTTTCCCAGCACCATAATCGCTCAAGTATACATGATTGCATCTTCTTTTTCCGGTTGAAAAAGCGGGAAATTTCTCAAGTGGCAAATGTGTCTCCGTCTGAAGTAGTTAAATCAGATGATAAAAAAGTATCCCCAAAGTCAGTGACTGACAAGTCACTACAAAAAAAGAGTGGCAGTCAGAATGGTAACAGTTCAAGGTACTTGTATGGTTTTGTGTTTAATAGGCAGAGGCATGATGAGAGGCTAAAGCGGGGTGGCGAACAAAAATCTGTGGTAATTCTGTCTCACAGTCCTTTTTCTAGTGTGTTTAAACGTTTGTTACAAATCATGGGTCCTTTGTATTTTGACATTGGAAATAAAGCTCTCGAGCACATAGCTGGTTTTGTTTCAATGTGGCCTGCTCCCCTGCCTGGTAAGCGGATGAAGCTTCCCTTTGGGAGTGTTAAGCTTGAAGTGGACTTGCCACCTGCTCATAGCTTGCCTTTGGATAGTGGAGTGTTGTTTGAAGAGTCCGCTTCCTCTATGGCTCCTTTTCTTCCTAGCAGTCAGTCAGTTCCACAGGGTCTTTTCCATGATTCAGATCTTTTTGGTACATTTCGGGGGCTTTTGTTGCAGCTCTGGTTGTTATGGGAGTTGTTACTTCTTGGTGAACCCATCCTTATCATAGCGCCAACGCCTCCCCAGTGTTGTGAGGCAGTTGCTAGTCTTGTTAGTTTGGTTGCACCACTCCTTTATAGTGTTGATTTCAGGCCTTACTTCACCATCCATGACCCAGAATTTGCCCATTTAAACTCATTTCGAGAAGGGGATATATTTCCTCCGATGGTTCTAGGCGTGACGAACCTCTATTTCTTAAAATCTCTTACCAATATTCCTCACGTTGTTTCAGTTGGAAGCCCAGCTCCTAATTCAAACCAGCTTGCCCTAGCTCCAAGGGCATCCACTAGTAGAACTTCTGTCAGATCTGATGGATTTGGTCCTCGTGGTCTTTCCTTTAAGAAGTTTTCTCCTTCAAATTTGCTGAATGCCATGAAGTTGATGAGAGATGGTCCTCTTTGTCTCATGAAAGAACACAAGGAAGCGATTTGGAGCAGTTATGCTGCAATTACGAAGCCAGACACTTCTATCTTAAGCAGGCTTATTGATGCGGGCATATTGCCAAGGGTTGAGGAGTCTATGTCAGTTGTTAACAACGAGATATTACGTCGGCATTTTTTGGAGCTTACTACTAACTTTTTGGCACCTTTTGGTCCGTATTTTAGAGCTACCACACCTTCTGAAGGATCTTCTCTATATGTTGATCCTCCCCCTCTTCCTTCTTTCAGCGCTGATGAATTCCTAGGAAGCTTATCAGCAAGAGGTCCAGGGAAGTTTCTATCAAAGCGAATGAGATCGAACTGGCTGGACCTATACAGGTAAAACATAATTTTTATTTGTAAGTACACTGCTGCTTCTTCCCTTCCCTCTACCCCCATTTATCATTAGCTTTATTTTCCCAAACAGGTATTCTTCACTTTGATTTTGTCCTTGGTCATTAGAAATTTTTTATTTAGTGTATCCAATCTACTGTTCAATTGTTTCTGAAATTGAGACGATTTAAATATCTGCCTAGGCGGTTCTTGAAAGGACACAACTTTCTGCCATGGTTTCAAAGAAAGCGTGCAGTTGCTGAACAGGAGCAACATAGATTATGGAGGCAAGCAATAATGAAGGCTGATATACAACAATTTCTGTCTAAAACTTCTGAATTGGAAAATATTGAGCCCTTCAATACAATTGAGAGACATCTTGGAGAAATGCAGGTAAGAGTTTCTTCTGGTCGTCAGAAATTTTTTTTGTTCTCTGGGTGTCCGATGATCTGATACTAACACGAGACTTTTGTCTTCAACGATTAGAGCAGTTTCAAGAAATAACATTTCTAATTAGAATAATACTTTTCATACGTTTGTCAATAATGTTAAGCTTAGCAGTTAGCACAGTTTTCTTTGCAGTAGAGGTCAAAACTTGGTTTTTATTTTATTTTTTTTTCAATGAATTGACTTTCATTTGTATTTAAAGATGAGGAACGCACAAAGCATAGAGTTAGCGATATGGGTGTTTGTGTAGTTGTATTGTATCATAGTGGATGCAACCTTATGCTAGAGTTCTTTAAAATAGGTATAAAAAATGAGAATAAGGAGAGGTATAATAAAGTGGTAATAAAAAGGAAATGAAGAAAAATTCCAATGGAGAGAAAAATAGTTATGAAAAAGAGAAAACAAATAGAGATAGAAAGAAAAGATAAGAGAGGCGAGAACTAGAATTACAGAAAATAAAATAAAATACAAAAAAGAGAAACATAATATATAATAATGTTTGCCACGAATGCTGTACAACATGGGTAGATTACTTTTGGCAAGTTGCCTTGGAGAAAGAAATGTTATATGGCATTGGCACACACTTTTTGTACCTCACAAACTACCTACTTGTCAAATACAAATTTTCTCGTAATGTTTTATTTACAGATCTTGTATCCCTCTTTACCTTTCTCTATGTTTTATTCAATGTTTCATCAATTTTATTTCTATCCATCATTTTTTCACAGAATCATTTCAAGAGTATGTAATTGTGATATACTTTTTTTTTTTGGTAAGGTGATTATGATATACTGTTCCTATATATCTTTTCTCGAGACTTTGTTATCAATGTATTGTTCCTTGGTAGATTCTTTTAATAGACCATTCATGGCTCACTAGATGACAATCCTGGTTTGTGGACTTGGCCAGTGCCGAGTCCAATTTCGGTCTCTATATCGGTGCTACTCAAGACTTGCGCAAGGTTGTTTGAGGATCTAAAATAGAACCAGCAGCATGCTTTACTTCCATTTTTCACAAACACTCTCTCTACAAGCTTTCTCACTCCCCCAAACTCAAAATACAATAAATATTTCTTCATCCAACATAGAAAAACACAGGACTAACGTTGTAGGGAGTAAAGAGTTGCTGCAGTGTTAGTGCTTGCATAATTTAGATCTTCATTTCCATGGCAATGCAAAGATTAGAAAGAGAAAGTGAATGAAACAAATGAGAATATGAGATAGAGGATAGAGAGAGAGAGAGAGAGAGAGAGAGGTGTGACAGCTGCTGCTAAGGTTTGAAAAGAGAGGTGTGACAGCTGCTTCGAAGTTCTGAAGAGAGGTGTGATCTTATTTTGATGGGTAGGGTTTATTTCTAGCCGCTAGATCTCTTATAATCTAATGATTCGAAATTGATAATGCTTAAGTTAATCTACGAGCCTTTCATTACAAGCCTAATTGGATTATAAAAGTTGGGCCTTGATTATATAATGCTATTGAACATGGTACCAAATTTCTTGTGAGCGGAACTTGTTCATGAATTAAAGTTCATGTATTAGTCATTATTTTTTCAGTCATCTTTAAAATTTCAATAAAAATCACTAAAAATCATTGAAAACTGACGTAGCTGAAGCTATGAATCATTCAAAAGGAACGAGAGGTAACTTTGAATCCACAAAGTTGAAGAAATTCGTAGAGGATTCTGAAATAGTATTGATTAAATTGATTTGAATTATTCTTCTGCTCTTTTTAGTACATATATTTATAATAAATAAAAACTTAGAACTGTAAAGGAAACTAATAGCATAAAGAAATCTAATTAATATAAGCAAACTAAAAATGAAAAGAAATTACCTAATATTAAACTTTCTCTTATAATAATAATAATATGAATATGAACCCTAATAAAACTGTCCTGCATCAAAAACCATGTTCATTCTATAATGAAATGTGTATCTGTGCATTTTGGACCATATGTGTGAGGTAAAAAAAAAAAAATCATAACCACGGCGCCCGATTTCGTTACATTATGCCCGGCCCGAACAGCCCCGTGTTTGTTACATTGCGTCTGTGTTCGAGTTTGTGTCTGAACTATAATAATTAGAGTTTGCTTATCATTGGGACGTTGTATCGATCAAGTATACATGTCGTACTATATTATTCTATTTGAAAAAATCTACATTTGAAGATAGATTGTTCGTTGTGTGTAATATGGGTACAAGTTTGTTAGTTGTGTGTAGCATGGGTACAAGTCGCAAACAGAACTGGAATTATCTAGGCACAAGGAGACATGACAAGGTCACAAGGCGGTAATTTCACTTTTTTCGGCAACGTCAAGTTATTATTGTCTCTTTAACAAAGTATAGTCTTATTTTTAGGTAATTATTAATTACATAAAATTGTGGGAAAAAACTGAACCATTCACCAGCTAATCCCACTGTTTGAAATGTCCATCAGATAAACTGAACCTTGGGGACTGATGAATATGTTCCACCACGAGATTAAATCCACTTCTATTTGTATGAAAGTTGAGTAATTAATCAAATTTGTGGGTATGACCAAAGGGGTCTCCATGAAATCATAATGTGTGGATAGATAGTGTGTTCAGAGCTCATGAGGTAGGTTGGGGAGTAGGATGAGGATTGGATGGCATCAGTGCTAAGAGTAACCAAGGAGTAGGGTATATATAGGATGGAGTTGGTTCTACGAGTCATTATGTATTTTGATGAATACAAAAAGCATCTCACAACAAAGTAGTTGATACTGATGGAGTTTTCTTGTTCCATTCATCAATAATGATACATAGAATACCTACAAAACTGTTCATTGGTTTAATGTTGCATGTTGATATATTATTGATTAATAAGCATATTGAAAATGTAAGCGGGCATATCCCTTCTCATTTTCAAGTTAAAGTAAAGGCTTTAGTATTCTATTTTTTGTTAACTAGAGGTGTATGACAAGCAATTTCACCCCTTGGGGTTAAGGTTTAAGTTTTATTATCAATGTTTATGCTTTGAAGGAATGTTTTATGAAATAAAAGTTCATACCGGCATAGGAGTCTGTGTACAATATGTGGATGTAGAGTTTCTTGAACATGTAACAACCTTTATATTAAAACAAAAAGAGTACTTGGGTAATCAACTTGGACTTGAATTTGGGTTGTGATAGTATTTATTTTTCTATCATGGCTGAATCACGGGTACATGTATGTTGCATGTGTTGTCATGCAAACTCTAATAATGGGGTTCATATGTCAAAATCCTATAATGTAATTGATGTTGAGTGGTAAAGATAAACTCCTACAAATGCTATGGAAAATTACTCATTTGAAAACACCAATTACCCCTCCCCACCCCCTTTTTATATTCCTATAGTGTCATACTCATTGACCACCTCCTAAAACGCTTTATGCATCCATAAATATACAAATTTTGTCAAAGACATAATTGACTGTTACCATGCTTTTTTGATTTATAGGAGACTCGTTATCGGTTTATGCTCTTGTAAATCAACTTCATAGCATTGTGTTTATTTCTTCACTAAATGTTTTCTTTGGCTGCAACAGTCTGAGAGTGCTGAAGCAGTCTCTGCAGCAACTTGCCAGAAACTGAAGGGAGATCTACAGGCGGTGTTCAATGTTCTTCCTAAGGACACGCAGCAGCTTCTTCTCATGAACCCTCAGAGGGCAACTCTTCTGCTGGGAAGTTCTGAAAGGACATAACCTCCAGAGTGTCCTTGGTGGAAGTTGGCTTCTTTTATTCCCCTTCATCTAGAAAATATTAAAAGTGTGACTAGGTATTAGGTGGGCTCTGGCAAAGAGGGACTTCAAGTGCTGCTATAGACATGAATGACATCCCAACTTTTTGCATTTTCATACATTGTTCAGTCATCAGATCGGGGGAACTTCATTGATCTTAGGGCATACTTCTTTTTTTGGTCGGTAATATTTTCTTAAAGTACTCATCTATTTCCTGATACTTTGTTGGGCTATGGAATTGATATTCTATATGTTGCTTTTTTCCTTTCTCCAGGTTTAGAGGCAAAATTGAATTGCAACTCCCATAAGCACCCCCTTAGCAACATTCTTTTTTTCACATTTCAACCTATTATGGGTCAAAAGAACAATCTGGAAAAGATGATTGACAACTCATGGGAGGTTGGTGTCTGCCTTTATAATGGAAGTTGAAGATTCATGTTGTTTAAATTCTAGAGGAAAGCTTCAAAACTCAAGAGTAAAGCTCCCAGTTGTTGGGTTACATTTCAACTTTGTATTTTTTATTTTTAGCAGTGGGTTCAACTTTCATTTTTCTGGTGGAGTAACTGAAACATCATCCAGAGTAGGTATGAGAAAGGATTTTGTTGTGGCACAAGTGGCACGGCTAGAACCAAATTTTGGGAAGAAAAGCAACCAACGGGGAAAACATTTTTCTAAGCAATACATTTTAAGTGACGTGCCTCACGAGGCTGTGCTATGCAGTTTGCTTGGACTCCCTGCCAAGATGATTCATGAGAAAATTAGGTAAAAGCTGCTTTTTGAAGATGTTGAATGGTACTTAAATGTTGGCATATTTGTTACATTTTTTAGCTATTGCAATTCTTTGAATTACAATCAGAATTATGAATTTTGGTTGAAATAATCCTTGTATTTCATAGGAAAGACTAAGCAGTGCTACCATTAAGTGTAATTGATACCTGGTAGCTAGGATTAGAATCACAGAAGATGTTCAGTAACACTGTAGAAGTTATGAAATTTATTCTTCCTAGAAGTGGTTTCCAATTCACCTATGTTAATGACCAACTTGCCGGCTAAGATTATGTTCCAGTGAAGATGGCAGCTGAGCTGCACTCATCACGAGTGAAATGGGTTGGAACATTTAAATGAAGAGGGCCATAACCCAGCCCTTTTCAGATTGCCCAAAAAGGGGGGCCATATTATGCTCCACAATATGCCTCTTTTCTGCTTTACAATGTGTAGTTCAGTAGTCCTGATTGCAGTATCAAACATTTTGCACAATTACAAATGTTTTGAACCTTGATTATATACTAAATTTGTGCAAGATTATTGATAGTTAAGGTTTATTAAGATGCCATCCCTTTTAAAGTTCCTATTAGGTTGTCCAGGTTTATTAAGATTCCATCCTTTTTTATGGAGAGAAAAAGATCAAGTTGTAAAATGGACCACAATCATTGTATTCTTATCCCTACCAATTAATGTCATATTGCTATGTGAGAGTTGACGGTTGAAGGTGACATTCTTGAATTCTTTTGGTTTCCAATCTCAGGATATCTAAGATTCCACGCTGTGCTCAATTTTGGGACCTCATTTCCTCCTTTGCTTGATGAGACCGGTGACTTAGCGTAATATCAAGCATACATTATGTTTTCAAAGAAAGTGATGCTTTGGTTTTATTTAACGATCTAATATCCATCCATCTTCAGTGGTTCATGTAGGTTTTATTGAGGTTGTCATATTCTATTATTGAGAATTGAAGAGACAACTGTGATGGGTGTCATTTCTCGTCCAAATTTCTTTGTCAGTTACTTCACCTGTGATGGGTGTCATTTCTCGTCCAAATTTCTGTGTCAGTTAGTTTTTGTGATGCACACTCTTTCAGGATGAAGAAAACCTACCTTGAAGGTCGACGAATTGGATCCCGGCAGACCCATTTTTTTAATTGTCTAATAGCTAGATGTATATTAGCTTTAACATAACCCAATCATTGAAGACAGGATTCACAAGGTTTTAAATAAACCATATTGTTAGGAGCTATTTTTTTAGCCTTTAAAACTAGAAATAGGGAAATGGCCACGTCTGTCTGTGTCTTTGTGTGTGTGTGAGAGAGGGAAAATGAGCCATTATGCATTCCATTCTCACTACGAATGCTACAGAATCCGCTAAGATTTTTCCGTAGAAAAGGGTGGGTCCTGCTACAACAGTCAGGTTACGGTGACCGCGAGAAACAACCTCTCAGCATGTAGAGGTAAAATTATGTACATAATCCTCTCCCGACTCTGTCTGCGGTAACAGTAGTGTTATGGTAACTTTGTTACTACATAAACATTTACCCTTTCAAATTTTCCATAGAGACTTTGTGGATGGGAAGGCCCCCATTGTTGACTGTGGGAGAGATTCTATACACATATACAAGAGGTGTCATTTTCTGTGAGCGCGACTTACGATACAAAGTAAAGCGTGGCTGAGAGTGTTGAGTGATGATGGTCGTTAGAAAGATTCTCAGTGCTTTGCCTTCAACGCTCTTTCCTTCTCTCACTCAATCATTGCAAGCGTCTTCGTTCTGATATCGTGTGAAGAAGAATGAACATTGGTAGAGCTAGAGAGAGAAAGTAGAGAGAGAGACAGGGAGAGAGATTTGTGTAATTTTGTATGAACATGGCAAATTATCCCATCCCTTCAACCTCAAAGTGGTCCACTCCAATTAATACTCTGATGCCCATCCTTATCCTGCACTCTCTCCCTTCCTCTTATCCTACGCGCCCATCTCTCTTTTCTTTCCTCTAACCCCCAGCTAACAAACCCAACAACATTGCCAACCAAAAAGAGAAATTCCGAAATTTTAATTTAATCAAACAACAGACATGTCTGCAGCTGTTTCAGCTTCAGGGGTTTGGAGCAGAGAAGAAGAGAAAGCTTTCGAGAATGCCATTGCTTTGCACTGGGCAGAGGAGGACTCAAAAGAGCAATGGGACAAGATTGCTTCAATGGTTCCTACCAAAACCATTGAAGAGTTGAAGCAACACTACCAACTACTTGTAGAGGATGTGAGTGCAATTGAGGCTGGACACATACCGCTTCCTACTTATACTGGAGAGGAAGCATCAATATCATCATCATCTACCAAGGACAACCATGGGGTCGCCGCCACCGACAAGCGATCCAATTGTCATAATGGAAGTGGGTTCTTGGGGTTAGGCCATGACTCCACTGGACAAGGTGGGAGAGGAGGATCGAGGTCGGACCAAGAACGGCGCAAAGGAATTCCATGGACAGAAGAAGAGCACAGGTAAATTAATCACTAAGTTGTGACTAATTGTGATGGTGCTTAGTCAATTCACATGTTCAAACACAAGTTTTTGCTTATTATTATACAGATATAGGTTGTACTTACTAAATTTGATGTGGGTGTACTTTGGTGTCTTGTATATAGGTTGTTTTTGCTTGGTCTTGACAAGTTTGGGAAAGGGGATTGGAGAAGCATTTCAAGAAATTTTGTGATATCAAGGACTCCTACACAAGTGGCAAGCCATGCCCAAAAGTACTTCATTCGATTGAACTCAATGAACAGAGACAGGAGGAGATCCAGCATTCATGACATTACCAGTGTGAACAATGGAGGAGATGTTTCAATTCATCAGGCGCCAATTACCGGCCAACAGACCAACCCAAATCCCACGAATGCAGCGCCTGCAATTGGAACGGCTGTAAAGCAGAGGCTTCAGCAGCCAAATATGCCGACGGGTCTGGGCATGTATGGTGCACCAATAGGACATCCAGTTGCTGCTGCTCCGGGGCATATGCCGTCGGCAGTTGGGACTCCTGTTATGCTTCCTCCTGGACACCCACCCCCCTACGTTGTGCCACTTGCATACCCAATGGCACCGCCCACAATGCAACAATAACAACGGTCCCTCTCTCTCTCTCTCTCTCTCTCATTCTCTTTCTCTCTCATCTGTGCTTAATTCATGCACATGGAAGTGAACTAAGACGGACCAACACCCCCACAGGGAGGCTAATTTCTAAAGAACAAGGGCACGAGTCTGCTCTGTTCTAATCAAATCGTGTTAACTAGTCATTCTATCTTATAACTGCATTTACATTGGTGTATGTGCCACAATCAAATAATGGGCTTCATCTCTTAGTATAAATGTACCTAATCAAGGTCTTTGAAGTGTCTTCTTGTCAATTCCTTCATAAATCAAAAGAGAAAGGTAAAGCTTAAATCAGTTTTTCCTCTACATAATTGAAATTTAAGGACACATCAAAAACTATTATTGTGCCACACGCCAGTGGCTAGGAGGAAATTTCTAGTGTTCCTCGTTTCTTCCCTATCCCCAACACGCGCATGGGGCGCGCACACACACACACACAGCAGACTGTTTAGTACATATGACAAAACATTGCAATGATAGAAGCTCAGGCGGCTAGATGATATTCAGCATGAAGACATCTGTTTTGAGTAAATAACACGGACCACCCTGAAACCAAGGACGGTGACCATACTGGTTTTTTTTAGAGGGCAAGGATATTTTAGAGAGAAAAAAAGGAATAACTGAAACCAAAAAATGCACGGCAATTTGATTCTTCTCTCTTGTGTTCAGTCCCATCTTCAGCAAAGCAGCTGAAACAAGATCAACCATTCAGGTTTGTGTGGCAAACATTGGCCCCAAACACCAATAATTTCAATTCTATAGGTCCCGAAACAACCATAAATTCATTTTTTTGTGAACCCACTGCGATAGTAGCTGTGACACTTACCATCACAAGGAATCTGCATTTCCACTTTTATACTCCAAGCCACAAAAAAAGAGAAGATCAAGGACAGAAAGAAAATAAATAAATTGAAACATGATAATCACAAATTTGGTTCGGAAGGTCAACATCACCAGCTTGAAATGCTGTTACAACCAATTACATGAAGGTTCTTCAGACAAACAACCTTCCGTAACGCATTTCTCCTTCAGTAGGTCTTGATGAAATGATGAATCTCACAGCATAATAGACACAGCAGTTGACGGCACTACCAATATCTATGCGCCCAAAACTGTTCTACATGCCTTCCCATTTTCTATCCTAATTAGAGACAAAATGTGTGTGTTGTGTTAAGAGAGAAAAAGTTGTATTATGAAACCAAAAACAGCAAAACTTCATTAAGATGATGACATCTCCAAGTGCAAAAAGGATACTCTTCTGATACTTGACTGTTTGATACCAGGATGCACACAAAAATCACAAAAGGAGAGGGATGCACAAAAATAAGATCCACAAACACCCCTTTGGTTTTAAAGGAAGTTGCTCAGACTGGATGTGATGCAACCACTTTTTTCTTCTTCCCCATTTCCAATACGTTGGTACCACACTCTGTCTCTTTCTTATCTCTACTTCTGCAGGTTAAAGTCAAAACAATATTAATGAGATTCAGGAGTTGATTCGCTCCCAAACACCCCGGTACATACACAAACACACAATATACATACACACACACACACAGTTTGAACTACGCTAATAGAATCTTCAAATTCAGCCAAATATGATGTTTTCGAAATCTCAAGCAAAGTACAATGCTTGAAGAAATATATCAGCCTCTTTTGCAGTAATAAGGCCTGTTGTGTTTCATTCAGGATTTGTTGGCTAATAGAGAAGCTTACAGCCTAAAATGAACCAGCAATGCTCCTAGACCATTTCCTAACCTATTAAAGAAGCCAATTCATGAATTTGATGGAATCATTCAGTCTGAAAAAACCTATGCAATCATAATCAATAGCAAAAATTTATTTGACTTATATATGCACTTACACATACTCATACATACATACACAAAAACACAAATAATTATTTCCATACATATGATTACTTGATAAAAAATCCAATCACTAATATAGAGCAAGCAAACAAGAATTACAATCAGTTAATTCTTCACCTAATTAGCCTAAAAAGGGTCAGAAGGGATGTTCATTTTTAAATCACCAGATCACTGTAATCTCTAATTGGAAAAGAAATGCATCCCCAATGTGTAATTTGAATTTAAAATTTGATTTTGTCAAACATCCAAGTATTTTATGTCCACAGAAACCGCAACGTCCCCAAGAAGAATGACGACAATGGGAGGATAAAGCATCAACAGCTCTTTACAGACAGTAAATCAATTTATATTATATTTTAGTAATAAAAATATGTATTCCACATAAGCTCAGATTGTTATTTCAGTAACAATAAGCTATCGCAGATGCAAAATTTAATATGTATACCCAATTAAATTACATAGATCCACAATTTACAGTTTGTCCATACCTTAAAGATGAGATATAATTTTCAACCTTTGCCTTTTGTTCAACATCATCATAGATAAACCATCTTTCCTTACAAGTAACCGGATCCCAATCTCCAACATCTGCACATTAAGGAAAGAAAAAATTGCAAAGGAAATCTAGTCGGATCAACCAAACATTCGTATTCGAGAACACAGACCTTGAAGCAGAATATTGTTTTCATGGGAGTAGCCTCTCAATTTCCAGAATTTCCGACCATTTTCATCAGAAAGTATAGGCTCTGCTCTAACAGCATCCGATCGCTGTTCCACTTTAGGCATTTGTTGCAAAGAAAAATGTTAGCTGAACACTTTCCATGAGTTCACGAGCCAAATGCAAATGTGATGGTAAGGCAAAAATTATACAAGATTTTTAGATAGATCAACCTTTTGATTAGTCCACCAATCAGACCAAGAGGTAAAGTAGGGTTAAATTAAACCATCAAAAGTAGTCCAAGAGAAATTAAATGTATCAGCAGTAAGCTCTTGGCATTTGGCGAGAAAGGAACTAAACATGAGCATTCATTAGAAGTTGGGGAGCATCAATTGGGGAAGGGCAAGACTAGATAAAGTAATATGAGTTGGTTAAGTAGCGCGCAACAAAGACTGCTGACTACATCAATAACAATATAATACAGTTCATGTTTTGAAGGTGTTACAAAGGAGAAGTTAGTTTAAGGCCAAAAGGTTGTGCATTGAAGTGAAGACATAGCCCTAAAAGAGGAGGGAAAATATGACCATTAATCTCCATTGAGCTATGTCTCTGTGTTTGAACTTTTCCACGTGTCTACAAATGAAGCAACCTATTGATATAAAAAATACCTCATCATCAGCATGCAATACAAAGTGGAATGTGTTCTCTATAACTTAAAGCATTTTATATTTCTCTCAAGTGTACTCCGTACATGCACCCTCCGGTGACGATTACAATCACAGAATTCTTGGACTTAACATCTGAGCCCAAGGTAGCTTTCACACAGGAAGCAGTTAAAAGATAATATTCAAGTATGGAGAATCCAATAAAAAGTAAAAGAAAACATTTTCCTGACTGAGGAAATTATAACCTTGGACAAGGATCCCAGGTTATTTGCACCCAAACAACCAATACTGCAACATCTCCCTAATTCCAATGATAATGTACTTTTTGGTGGATTAATAAAATGTTGAACGTTGTTCTTCACATGTTTCTTTCTTGCATGAAGGACTAGATTTAATGCCATTAAATTTAAAAAATAATTCATACTAATTTAGAAGATATCAACGTTCTATCTTAAAACTCAAATAACCCCCTTACTAGCTGATGGAATTGTCCTGAAGAAAATAAAAAACCAGGCAGTGAAGGGAGAAAAAGGCACATTTCATTGCATTTTACAACTAGTTTTCTTGGTCTTGATTCTTGAAACACAAGGATGTCAAAGCAAAATTTTGGTAATCAGGAAATGCAAGGTTGAAATATTTGGGAGAAAAAAGTCAGAAATAATTTCTTTTAGACTAAGCATACCATTCTTGTTCTTTAAGCACATCATCATCATCCTTGCCTTTATCCCTATGAATGGGGCCGACCACATTAATTCTTTTTAAAATTCATTTCTATTACGAGCCAGATCTCTATGATAGTTAATTTTTTGAAGTCATTGCTCATTATTTCATTCCATGTTAATTTTGGTTCTTTATCTCTTATACAAACTAATATCCCTTACCTTACTGGTTCATCCATGAGTCTAAGTTGAATATGTCCTTATCACCCAAGTCTACTATCTTTTATTTTATCACTAATATGCACCACCCTAAATTTCTTTCTTGCTAGTTGAGTATTATTCTTGTTTCTCTTTCAACTCTCAACACTTTATATAAAATAGTTGGTCTAATTACTATCACATACTTAAATTTGCTTCTTCGAAATCTAAAGTATCACCAATACCCACTGGGGCCAAAAAGAGGAAAAGAAGAACGAAAAAGAAACGCATTGGGACTTGTAGGCTTGTAGCTTTTCATATGGATGCCTTTTCTAAAAGGACGGAATTGGACAACTACCTCCTTCCCCAGTCTACACGTTGTTTCAGTGCCCTCACCAAAAAGATTTTATACACCTCACTCCTTTTAGAATTTTCTAGGTCCACCCCTGAACATCTCTATATTTGGCAGCACCTCAACCCCATCGTTGCTGTTCCACTGATGCCACAGCCTCTAGAAGCAGTCCACCAATACAGGCCTTGCAGCCAACTCTTCTCCTGCATTTTCCTTCATAGTTATTTATTTCTACATAACAATTTCCAAAAGAGAAAAATGAACTCATTCTTTTCCTTGCTTCACAAGCATTTTCAAAAAAAGAAAAAAGAAAATGAATAACTAAATGAAGCCTAACTGTGAAAAGATTTAACACATGAAATGCGAAGCTAAAAGAAGCATGGTAAAAGCATGAAACAACAAAACAAAACAAATGACAACAGAAATGTTGGGCTTCCCCATAGGATGATGATATGTTTCCATGGCCCAAATGATTGGTTGAAATCCTGTCAATCAACCAATTATTACTGTATGGTTAAGAGCATCCTAGACACTAATAAAAACATATCCTAGTTAAAGAAAAAACAAACACTTTCAGTTAAAACACAGATATCGTAAAGATATTGACTGAAACCAATAGATTTGAGGAAAGCCAAAAAAGTCCAAAGACATAATTTATATAAGACCTCTATAGCTATAAATGGAACACCAAGCTATATGAATCAATAAAAGAATTATCAGAAGAATTTAGAAAATTCTATAATGAATGTATGCTGCTTCATTGGAACATATATACCCTACATTGCTTCAAATAATTATTCTCAAAGTCCTTAATGAATCAGGTAACCAGAACATAC